TGGAGCTAATAGGTTAAAGTATGTATCTAGAAGATGATATACAATATATGTTGACTGTAGTTTTTTCTTGTATTTAAGAGTGATTTTAGTTTTGCAAAAGTAGTAATTGAGAACAAGTCTTTTAAGGATTCAGTAAGTAGTAATAGTAAATTTAGAAGTGGCAACTGCTTATTATTGAAGTATAATTCTAGAATTCTTGTGAATATATAGGCAACTCTTAATATTTTTGTAATTATACCTGCTTATCATTTATCTTTATTTAGAAGTGTAAAAGGAATTATATCCTGAATATCTTTCTCTATAAGATTTGAAGTAGCAGGTAATGGTATGAGGAGGTGGTCTTTCTTAGCTTTGATTATATTTAGTATATCTTTGAATTTTAGCTCAGTTTGTATCTTTGCAAAATTGATTAGATATAAGATATATTATGTTGTCTTATATAGATCTAGTTTCACTATATCTAAGTTTAGAAAAGTATCTAATAAGAGTTTTGTATATAGTTTTATAAATATCTGATCTTAGTTTTTTTTGTTTGTAATACAGATACTATGTAACTTCTTGTATAACTCTAAAGCATTATGCATTAGTAATTCAAACTCAAGCTAATGTGCTAGGTGAGAAGCTACTACCCTTGTGAAAGAATGAAAAAAAGCTATATCATAATATTCAAATTTCTTTTTGATCATATATAGAATATTAAGTAAAGTTAGAAGTATTTCTAGTTTGTATTAATTAGTTCTTTCATCATATCTGATGTTGCAAAAGTGCTAATAATTTTGTTCAAGTTCCAAGTTTGTGTATTATATCTATTGAGCTTCTTTTTTCTAATATCATATAGACTTTCTTTAAACTGCTAAACCCAGACACTTCTATAGTCAGTTCTATTTTGAATAGATATTTGTTTATTTAAACCTCTGATATAATTTGACTATATAGAGGGTATATATTTTTAGTATCTTCAATTGTGTTATCTGAGCCTGCTTCTGACATGTAGTCATTTTGTTCTCCTAGAGCAAGTTCATTCTGTATCTCAATTGATTAGATTGCCTGATCTATATTTCTATATTTGTTATTTCAGTATCTAGTATAAGAAAATCAATACAGATCTCTTTTTCTTTTTTAATTATTGTTTGCTGCAGTTGATCCTGATTTGTATTTGTTGTATTATGATCTTTAGGTGATACAGGATTACTCAGATTCTTAGAAAAGGAAGTATTGCTACTTTGTTGTATTAATATATCATCTTCAGTTTGCATCTTATTTTGCAAGCTACTATTGCTAGTAGTAGAAGTAGTAGAGTTCTTTCTTCTTTTCTTACTATTCTAAGTATTTCTTTGTGACATGTTTGCTATATTGCCTGTTGTATGACTATAGTAGGATAATTTTGTATTTTTTTGTTTTGTTGCTAAACTAGTTAGTAACAAGTCTTTAGTGAGTTCTAGTATAGCAGAGACTTTGTCATATGTTCTCTTAATATTGTCTACATTGTAGTTTGTGGAGAGGCTTATTTTTATATAGTCTAATAATTATTTAGTTATCTGTTTACTCATATATTTTTATTTGTCATTTGTTGTTTTTTATTTTTTTATTTTTATAAAAAACTCAAGGGTATGGGAAAGAGTTTTTTAATATATTAATTTAATAAATTTGAATTAAAATAAAATATATAAAATTTTAAATACTCTTTCTCTAATTACTAAAACCTAATACAAAGCAACAACAAAAATTTAAAAACAACAACTCAGCAAGAAATATTATTATATAGTACAAGGAATAAAGCTTATAACTAGTTTGAGTTTAATATTATACTAATACTACTAGTTTGTAAATATCCTACTAGAGCAAAGCTGCTAACTTTAGCAGGTTTTAGTATTTCTTTGTTTATATATAGCTAAAGTAAAAACCAAATATAAGCTTTACCAAAACTGCTTAAACTGAGTTAAGCAGTACTACTATCTTTTAATTCTAGTTAGAGTTTTCATATCTATCTCTTTTTAGTCTTTCATATAACTCAAAAAATACAAAATATCTTTTTACATTTATGTTAAAATCTTTTTGCAAATTTATTTTGTTAAAAATAAAGATTTGACTACTCTCTATAAAAGGATCAGTATTTATATTACTAATCTATTTTAGGAAAAGATTATATAAACAAAACAGGTAATCTGTTTTGTTTACTAAATAGATAGCACATATAATAAAACCAATAACAGATCGTAACTAATTTAGATTAATAGTATAAGAAGTAAATTAATTTAGAGATATAGAATATAGTGTTAGTATTTTATATAATTTTTTTAAGTAAAGTAGCATTTAGAAAAAATTTATTAGCTTTGCTTATAAATTTTTTCTATCTAAACCTCACTCTTTTTCATTTTTTTTTATACTTGTTTTTTTTTTTTTTTTTTTTGAGTTTTCCTTAAGCAAGATTAGTTATAACAGGTAGTCATAATACACTATTAACATGTTTTAGTGAAATATTAGAGGAGGAATATGGTTCTTTTACTCTATATAGAGAGAATTGTTAGATATAGCAAATTGCATATAGGTACTATTTAGTAACTAGGTGAGTTGCAACTTGGTAAAATATTAGCTTAGGCTTAAAGATTGTAATATAGAGACTTTCCTATTATTATAATAAAATTGTAGTATAATTGCTGAAAAGTTAAAAAAAAAAATATATATAAAATTTTATATATTAATTTATAATTAAATAAATATTTTAATATTTAAAGATTTGTAGAATATATTTATAAAAAAAAATTAAATTAATTTTTGATTACATATTGTTTAAAAAAATCTCAAAGTTGATTAATTTTTTTTTTAAAAAATTAAAATTTTTTAATATATTTCTAAATTAACTAATCAAAATTAAATATTTTTTTATGTTACTATGCAAGTATTTTGATATAACATTGGTATATAAACTTGCAAAATTTCAATTATAATTATTATATAATAAAAAAAAAGTTATAATAAAAAAAATTACTTATTTAAATTTATTTACTATATAAAAAATTAGTAATTTTATATAGTAAAATTAATAATACTTATATATAAAAAAGTTAGTACGTACGTACGTTATGTATAATTTTCGTTTCTACGTATACAGTGTTACAATAATATTTTTATGTTCACATGCACTTTATTTTTAAGCTTTTATTTAATTAAATAATTAATTAAAGTAGATAAATTTACTATATTAAAGATCGGACATAGTAAATTCCGATAATGAGGATTTGTTGTCGATCTCACTGTTAATTTACTGTATATTCGAAAGAGCAATCGTACACCGGTAAATGTAATGAAGTCCTTTTTATTAATTTTAAAGAAATTAAAGCAAAAAAATGATTCATAAACTCGAATAATGTTAAATAAGAATAATAAAAAAAAAAGGGCTACATTACTTTAAAGAGGATTTTGAAACGAATTTTTAACGCTTGCTTTTTCAAAGTTATACAGTAAATTTAAAGGTTATATGTTATTATTAAAAGTGTGATGAGACTATGATCACCAGAATGTCGCACACTCCATTCGGAAATTGTTACCAAAGAATTTAACGTGCTAACGTAAGGCTACCACGTGCATTTGAACGCGTGTTTAAAATGACATGAAATGAAATATGATACCTGTTTAACCATAATTACATAAGTTTATTATTAGGGTTAAAAGCTGATATTATCTGTTATGTGTAAAAAAATTACGGTACTCGCGTTTTTGATCAAACCTACCAAAATCGGTAAACAATTAATTGATTTAAATAGTAAAACCTTTTGCTACAAATATGTATAAATGTATAATATTAAAAATTTCCAGATTTTACTTCAGATAAATAAATAAATAAAAGATTTTTTTTTTTTTTTTTTTATAACTCGAATAGGTTAAAATTCATCACAAGACGAATTTATACCAAATTTAGAAAAAAAAGCTAGTCGAATAATATAAAGAAAAAGTACTTACATACAAAGGAAAATAAACAATAACAGATAATGATATACAAATTTAGTTAACAAGATACGTACCGTCTATAATGTAATAATGATTAGCCTATTTTATATACTTGTTTTCCGTCTATAATCATTTATAATCATACCAATTACCATAATAAGGTAAAATAATAACGTGTCCCAGCACATGTATGCTAAATTCTGATCGAACAAAGGATCAGAAAAAGTTATTATACGTAGAAAAGAAAAGATTGATAATAATTTACGTATCAATAATTAACATGCACATATTTAACTAAATTTATTATTAGAATGAAAATCTTAATCGAATTAAATCTTTTGACCGAATACGTAGAACATAAAACAAATAAAAAGTATGTAACGTTATATATAACCTTTTTTTTAAAAAAAATTTTTTTTATACATGTAGTAATTAACGCCAACCTTAACTAATCTGTAAAGTATTTCGGACTTGGTTCAATGGACAATTCAATATCAACAAACAATTCAACCAAAAAAAAAAAAGAAAGTTCAAAACAATTCAATAAAAAAGTTCAATAAACCCTAAGATGGTTTTATGGGATGTTTAATATTAATTATTTGATCTCATCGTGCATTGTTCCTTCATGAAAACACCTTTTGTTACACAACGTTTTAGAGAACCATTACATAATTAGGCGCCCATGCCATGTTCTTTAAAATATTTTGTTTTTTTGATAATAGTTCCTCTTTTATGAATCTTTTTTTTTTTCATATTCTCTCTATCTAGACTATCTAACTCTATTCATTTCATTCTAACGAATTAGATAAACATCCGTGCTAAATATACTGCATAAAATCCCTTATATAAATATATCATATATATATAGATATTATTCGTTCAAAGTATCAATTATTTTCGTTTTTTAATAATTCATTCAATAAACGATAAACAAAAGATACAAAAAAAAAAAAAAAACAAGATTCATGGGCAACTTTCTAAGTACTAAAATATTGATTAAACGTAGAAAATCCTCTATTAAAAAAACAAAGCATAATTCTTCAATATTAGAAATGACGACATCTCCAACAATAGAACAATTACATTATCACTCTGACGCAACTTATTATTATATAGATGGTAGAAGATATTTAGATAATTCATCTTATTCATTACCTAATGATGATGAAGAAATTGATAGATTACAAATGCAACATTATATAGCGAGATATATATTACAATCCAATTTTTGTGCTCCTGTTAATAATATATTAAAGAGTGGTGCAAAAGTTTTAGACGTTGGGTAATTAAAAAATCAATATATTTATAATTAAATGTACAAAAGTAGAAAGATTTAGTAATAAATTTTTATTTATTATTTTTCTTAACAATTTTATT